TATCATATGATTGACGAATGCAGTGGTTCCCTATCGGTGACCCAACATCCCGGCTCCGTTGAAATGCATTTCAAACTGGCAAAACTGCTAGCTTGTGGATGGGGCGCCGAATGATTCCCTTCGATGTGCGAACATCAACCACACGAATTTTCGAATCCTTTCCTGGTATGCAATTTACAATTCTTCCCATAAGCCATTTCTGCGGTGGTAAGTTGTCTTCATGTATGATGACCATTGTGTTGTTTTCGATGTTTGGCCGATCTGCAAACCATTTTGAGCGTACTTGTAGCTCGTTGATGTATTCATGTGACCATTGCTTCCAAAAGTTTTGTTTGATTGTAGCTATTTGTGCCCACTGTTGCGCATGGCTTATGTTGGATGACACGTTTCGCTCCGGAAGTGCTTTTAGTGCGTCGCCAATGATGAAGTGACCTGGAGTCAATGCTTCGTAGTCGTTCGGATCGGAAGACAATGGTGTTATTGGCCGCGAGTTCATTACCGCTTCGATTTCTACCAAGGCTGTTGTGAGTTCCTCGTAAGTAAGCCGTGAGTTTGCCATGCTGCGATTAAGATGGCCCTTTGCTGATTTCACGGCCGCTTCCCAGATCCCGCCAAAATGAGGTGCTCTAGGGGGAATGAAATTAAAATTCACAAATTCGTTAGCACAATACGAAATAATTGAGTCTTGATTTTCTTTTTCGAATAAAAATGATTTTAGTTTCGCAAGTTTATTACAAGCGCCAACAAAATTTGTCGCATTGTCGCAAAATATATCAGATGGCAAGCCTCTCCTTCCGATCATCCGCTTCAAAGATGCCACAAACGCTTCTGTAGAAAGATTCGAAACGATTTCTATATGCACTGCCTTGGTAGCTAAACAAACGAAAATTGCGATGTAGGCCTTGTAGGGTATCTTGCCTCTAATTCGCAGGTAAACGTCAACAGGTCCACAAAAATCAATGCCGCAGCGGGCGAACGGGCGTGACGGAGTCAATCGCTCAACTGGTAGATGTCCCATGACTTGCTCCATCAGTTTTGGCTTGTAGCGTACACAATGTATGCAGGATCTGACCACTCGCCTTGCCACTTCACGCGCGTTGATAATCCAGAATTTGAGCCTTATCAAAGCTACGAGGGCCTTTGGTCCAGCATGATAATGACTGTGGTGAAGATGTCGCACATAGTTGATGATGAATTCGCATTTGCTTGGCAATAGTAGTGGGTGTTTCCTCTCTTCTGGTATGTCCGCCTGCTTTAAACGCCCACCAACCCTCAGTAATTGAAATCCTCTGACCGACTCAAGAAAAGGGTTCAAATAACGCAACTGTCCATTTGTGGTAAGATTTTTCTGCAAAAGATGAATATCATTAGCGAAATGTTCTTGTTGTATATTCCAAATTATGCAAAGCAGGGCATGATGCAATTCTTTTGAGGAAAGAGGGCCTGACTCATTGGACTTAACAACAGGTCGTAGATTATTAGCGAATCGAAACATCCAGCCGATTAATCGAATGCTGCTAGTGTACGAGCTCTTTTTATTGACGACTTCAAGAATGTGGTTGGTTTTTATAGTTGTGGTGAATGCTGACTTTCGTCTCTCGGCTTCTACGGTTTCCATATCAACGCCTTTGTTTTCGTTTTTAGGCCAAACCTCCATGGGTTTGTATAAAAATGTAGGTCCAGTGTACCAAATTGAGCTGGCGAGTTCTGCCACCGTACATCCTCTGGAAACTATGTCTGCAGGATTACTGTGTGTTGGCACATACCTCCAATGGGCTCCCGTAGTTAAGTCCTGTATTTCCGAAACCCGATTTCCAACGAACGCCGAAAGCGTTATTGAGTGCATCTTCAGCCAATGTAAGACCACTTGTGAATCTGTCGAGAAAAACGTTCAAGGATTTATTGTAAAAAATTGATTTGATTTTTGAAAAAAGACGAGCTAAAAGGAGAGCGCCGCAAAGTTCTAGCTTTGGCAACGACTGTTTTTTGATGGGGGCGACTCTGGATTTTGCGGTGAGACAACGAACGACAATACTTCCGGACTTGGTAACTGTTCTTGTATAGATGACGCATCCATATGCTCGAATGGACGCATCACAGAAGCCATGCAGCTGAAGGTCCAGGGAGTCGGTTGAAAGACAATACCTTTGCACCTTGAGTGATGATAGGTCCGATACGCTGTTAAGAAAGCTTGTCCAAGCGGAATGAATGTTGTGAGGCACGGATTCGTCCCAATCCAACCTAAGCAGCCATAACTCCTGCAATAAAATTTTTGACGTAATGGTAACAGGCGCCAACAAACCAAGAGGGTCGAATAACGATGATGCAATTGAAAGGATTGAGCGCTTTGTTATGCGATTTTTTTGTATTTTCCTTGGTTCAAACGAAAACAAAAAGGTATCATTTGCTTGATCCCATCGCAGACCTAGAGCACTCGTGACGGAGTCGTCCAAGTTGAGATTTTTTATACACTTATTTTGCCTCAGTCGAAAATGGTTAGAATGCCACTTTGAAAGCTCGAATCCACCTAAAGCTAACAACTGTGTTACCTCTTTCTTTATCCGTAGAAGTTCGTCCCAATTATCTGCGCCACACAACAAATCATCGACGTAAAATGACGATTTAACGATGTTAGATCCAAGTGTAAACTGATCCTGATATTGCTCAGCCAAGTAAATTAAACTTTGTATGGCCAGATATGGTGCCGAAGCCATTCCATAGGTTACCGTTTGAAGTTGATAGGTGCGAATTTTTTCAGTCGGGGAACTCCTCCACAAAATATATTGGAAACGTTTGTCACCGTCATGCACAAGTACTTGTCTGTACATCTTGACTATGTCGGCAGTCAATGCGAATCTGTATAAGCGGAAACGAAGAAGAAGAAGAATTAACTCACTCTGAATTGTAGGGCCAACCATTTGGATTTCGTTGAGAGATATTTGTGTTGTAGTCCGGCAAGAAGCATCAAAAACGACACGAAGTTTTGTTGTTGTGCTGGTGGGCTTTAGCACACAGTGGTGTGGGATGTAATAATGCGGTTCACCCAAATTCGGATTCTCCATGATGCTCATGTGTCCCAAACGCTCGTATTCATCCATGAAATCCACGTACTGTTTTCTCAAGTGTGGTAATTTTGCTAAACGACGCTCTTGTGCGTTGAATCGTCTCAGTGCGGTGGTGTACGAGTCGCCTAAGCAGGAGGGATCATCCTTGAATGGCAATTTCACTACTATTCTTCCAGCTGGATTCCTTGAAACAGTGGTTCTGTACATCTGCTCGCAAGTTGTTTGTTCGCGAGTCCAAGGCTCGGCATTGACAGCTACTTCCTCAATTCTCCATAGCTTCTCCAGCTTGGCATCCAACGAGTCATTGGCTGTAAATAAACATGAACGTTGAGACAAGTTGTTGCTTGATTGGTATCGACCCGATACAACCCATCCTAATAAAGTTTTTTGCAATATTGGTAAATTTGTTCCAAGTTTGATCTGGCCAACTGCCAGCAGACTAAAGAATGTTTCCGTACCTAACAACAAATCGATTTTTCTGGGTACGTAAAATTCATCATCAGCAAGGGTAATATTATTTGGAATATTCCAAGAAGAAATATCGATTTCAGGGTCTGGCTGATAGGCAATGTGCCGCGTAATGCAGAACGTCAGCGGAAGTTCGAATTCGCATTGCTGCGATTTTATATTAGTGGAAGTTTTGTATCTAATGTTTGTTGACGACTTACCGATGCCTTGGATTTCAATGTTTTGTTTACCTTTCGGTAACGACAGTCTTTGTGCGAATTCCTCAGTAATAAAATTCACCTGAGAACAGGAATCTAGCAGGGCTTTGCCTAGTCTGTAATCACCTGACGAATCACGAACTAAAATCATGGCAGTTGCTAGAATAACATTGTCAGACGACGAATTGTGCATGTGTGTGTGCACTGCGGCTTCGCGTGATGGTGGAGGATTTGTTGTCTGTTGGGCTGATGTGGACCCGCGGTGGAGTAAGCTGTGGTGCTGCTTTGAGCAAACCTTACATCTGTGGGTTGATGGGCATTGAGCCATTTGATGTCCTTTAGACAGGCAATTGATGCAAAGTCCCATTTTCTTCGCTTGGTCGAATCGCTGGGTGATGTTGTAAGACTTAAAACGATCGCAATTAGAAATTTTATGGTTTGTGCTTGAGCAAACAGAGCACGGCGTATTGGAGCAGGTAAATGAATATCCCTTTGGCTGATTCCTTACCTTACTTAATGCAGCTTTGCTGTTACCTGGAATAACTGCTGGTCCTGTGTGGCTAGCTTCCATCGACTCCAAATATTGGCAATGCCTTTCCAGCACCTTCACACAGTCGCCCCACGTCGGCAGCGTCTTAAAATCCAAAGATTCTTTCCACTTTTTATTGGTTTGTTCATCCGATTTCTGAAGCACCAAATAAATGAGCATGGCTTGGGAAATTTGCATTTCATTACCCAACGAGAGAAGTGAACCGTAAATGGCAGAAGTCTTGTCGATAAGACTTCTCAATTGTAGTGCGTTTGGTTTCGAAACCGCTGGTAACTCGAATAAAGAAGAGATATTTTCCAAAAAAAATTAAAGTTTTATTGTCGTACCTTTCTTTCAGCCGTTCCAATGCTTTAGGGTAATTTTCATTGGTCACCTGGAATGCATCGACGGTTTCTAAAGCTTGACCTTGAAGCGAGTTTCGCAAATGATTAAATTTCTCGATGTTTGAAAGACTAAATTCTTTATCAATTATCTGTTTAAAGGATGTAATAAAATTCTGGTACTCAGAATACTTGCCGCTAAACGTTGGGAGTTTGAGCTTTGGTAATTTAGTGCTGTGCTGCACAATGCAGCTTGTTTCCGGAAGCGAAATATTATGATCCTCCACTAGCTGTGCTTGAATCGTTAATTTTGTAGTGACGTACAATTCCTCAAGGTCCGCGCGTCCTCCATCGTCGGGATCCAATTTTTCTATATCCGTCTGAATGGACAGTACCTGTTTAAAGTAAGATTCAAAAATGCCCAAACGACATTTATATTCGGCAGCTGAGAGAGTTTTACCTCCTGGACGTAAACTAGCATCCACAATGTTCTTGATGCGCGTGATGTTTTTCTTAGTATTTGCGCGCTGTTGCTTTAATTCGTCCAAAGACATTGTTAAAGGCAGTAAAATTTCAGGCGGCAAAAATTAAAACGCAAATGGCAATTTGTGGCTGTTATTGAGGGATTACTTACGTGTAGTCGCGAAAGGGAAATGTTTTGCGACAGTGGCAATGGCAAGCTAGAAAAAAGGGTGGTCAAACCCAAGGTGCATACATACATACGTGTGTGGCGATATGTGCGCCTTTTGGTGCAGTGCAACCAACGAATCAAAGTAATGATAGCGAGGGTGATGATGACTGGAAGGCGGCAGTGTTCGAGAGCGATGTGTGTGCTGAGCTGGAGCGACGGCCGTAAGCGATGGTAAGCGAGCGAAGAGGTAGCAGAAACGACGACTATTCAAATGCGGCTGACGAAATGAATCTATCAGTGTCAATGATAGTTCTTGTATCCAGCGGCCAAGTAGCTTGGAGATAATGACGTTTCCGTGAGTGAGATTGATGGTGGCTAGCAGCACGTCCAACGATGGCGATGAGGGGTCTAACGCTGACCACCAGATGTAAATGATACGAAGCGTGTACTTACAAGTTATATAATATGTAGTGCCTGCCCCACGTTGGGCGCCTAAAAATGTAGGATTACAAAGCCTTTTTTGTAACCGCGCAAAACTCAAAGTAG